CTATATAGTGAAAACACTATCTATATATATATCACAGGCATTTACCATATTGCAACTTACCTATTATATCTTTTATAAGTCTATTTATATTTATAATATCTTTTCTTTCAATATGACTTATAATATCAATGCCTAGCATATCGAGTTCTATAATTACTAGGGTACTTACAATAACCCCTGTAATATCGATGACGTGGCACAGTTTTGCGATAGTTTCATTTATATCTTGGATAATATGTCATTGGAAATTTACAAAAACAAACACAAATAACAGGAGTATTTATACTTATTTATTAATTATGAAAAAACGCGTATATACGTTAAGATCAAAAACAAACCAATAATTATCAAAAATGTAAACAAACTACAACTCAATAATCGCATCATTAGCATTATTGCTTGGTTTATAAACATTACGAAAAACATTTTTCTTAAAATAATTATCAATATGTTTAAATATACCATTATTATTTTGAACATAATCATTAATTTTTTTAAACTTTATAATAACATCTAATCTTTTATCTAATGCTTCAAACATCATATTTGGATTCTTATGAAAATCATATCATCTATCTGGAGATGCATTTGATGTTATAATAATATGTTCACTATTAAATACTGTTATTCCTCCTTTGATTTCAACATTCAATGGATAATGGTCTAAGAGATGAAAAAGAAAGTCGAAAGGAAGCCATCTGTAGAAGTCATTGAGTACAACAATGGAATGCTGATTGTATTCATTCCATCAGTGATTACGTGACTTTCAAAATGCTGATGGATACTGTTCCATGCAATATTAGGATTTTTCGCTACCAGTTTCACCATAGAGAACTTTCATAATTGTTTTTGTTTGACGAGGACACATGTAAGTCAGAATTGCTTTTTGGAAAGTCCTATAGTTTTTATATCACAAAGAAAAATTATGCTCCATTAGATCTTACTCACTAGTATCTTCTTTAATCATGGTATGGATTTTATTAAGGTCATTACGTTGATCTTGTCCTATCGACATATTCCATTCCCAGGATTTTTCTACTCAAGAGTTTTCTTTTTTGCAATATGCAATAGCTTAATCACGTGTTTTTTTTCGTGGTTTTCAATGTGCTCTTGAAAGAACTTTGCATATACCTTCGAAACGTTTTGAAGTCTTGAACTCAGCACACCCCTGATAATGCGAGGTAACTGACTGTCTTATTTCTTTTTGCCAAACTATAAAGTGAAGGTTTGGCATAATTTCAGGATCAAGTTGTTCAGCCAGATTGTTAAGAATAAATAATCAACAGTGAGAACGTGCATATTCAGCCATAGTTTTTAAATATTATTTGGATTTAATATATAAAAGATGGCAGATAAAAGTGCGAAAGCATCTGTATATATAAGAATCTTATTGTATATACAGTACGCGAAAAGATCATGTCAATAAGATCAGTCGCATATGTATGTTAATCAGTTTACGTGACACAATGTGACACAATGTATATTATATAAAATGTTCTAACCAATCAAATCACTTTGTGTCATTTTCCACCAATCCTTGTGCCAGGCACAAAGTCTAGAACATTCTATGCAGAGATCGTTATAGTAAAATTACTTTTTATATCAATGTACTTATCATATATAGTAATGGCACAAAGATCTGACATGAAATTGGAGGTAATAAATTATTACAATATATTAAAAAACATACTTATTAAAAATATATTTATCAAACTGTATATTGTATATTAAAAATTTTTAAAATAAATATTTATCTTATTTTTTTTATAATAATCAATAGCATCATCAAATTTATTGTTATATAAAATAAAATATATGAAATTATATAGTTTATTTATATTTTTTGTTACAATATATATTAATTAATTACATAAATAATTTAAATTTTTAATTAATTATTATTTTAAAGTTTTGATTTATTGTAATTAAAAATTCAAGATAAAATCAAAATAGATAATTTTTCTTAAAAAAAATTAGAAAAAAAGTTTATATATTTAAAAAAATAAAAAAAATTTTTTAACTATTTTTTTTTTTGAACTTTGAATTTTTTTAAAAAAGAAAAAATATATTTTTAATAGAATTTTTTTATCTTTAATTTTATAAGTAAATTTTTTATATATTTACATGCAAAAATATAAGAAGTTTATTTCAAACAAATACTGTAAGTAAATAAAAAAAGGATAAATTTTTTAAATAATAGTACTGTTAAGAAAAAGTATATAGATTTTATTATAAAGAAATACAAAAATTTTTTTTAAAATATTTATTTTTTGAATTTGACAAAAGAATCAATAGAAAAAGTTTTTTTTTTTGCTACAATTAATTCATATTTTATTATAAAAATTAGTAATATAATAACAATAAACTCGTTTAAATAAAATTTTACATTAAATGCTTATTAATAAAATAATAATAATAATAATAATTTTTTTTAATATTTTGCAATATTAATAAACCAATATAATAAATAAATGCTGTATTGTATATTTTATTGAATATGTTATTGAGTTTATAATTAAAAATAGCATTTTTATAAAATACATTATATACATTTTGTAATTTCAAACAACTTAAATAATCAGAGATTAAGAAATATTGCATTCAAGAAATAATTATTCACAGGATGTTAGCTCCTATTGTTATTATATGCTAAATTACTACATTATATCAATAATGATTTTTATAATGCATACAGTAAACAATTAATAATTCAGACAAGCTATAATTTAATTTAATACATAAATATGTATGAATTCCTTAAGACTGTGTAAGTTAATTTCGAGCATTCTTGTTGGCGGAATAAGATCGAACTTCGATGCGACCAGTTCGGAAGCCGAACTGGTTATCTGACACTCCTGATATTTAAAGAAGTTTGGAATGCGGGTTAAATAATAAATAAACCCTGACTCCTTTAATCTAATAATTAATGAAATACATAAATACATACGGTAAATTTGTTTCAAAAAAAGATTGGATGGTCGAAATATTCTTCAAGTACAAACAACATCAATGCGACGTTTCACGTGAAGAATGAGTGATCAGGTGCTTTTAAAGAAACGTAACATATTAACAGAATAGTTGTACGAATCGACATATTAATATGGATGCAGAGGCGTATTAATAAAGTCAATTATCTTACTTTCTCGAGCTCGTCTTTTGTTCAATGTCACGTCAACCAAAACCTCCCATGTCTTCACGTCCCGGTAAAGTTGGTAAGTCGTACAAGCGCATTGCACAGTAGCCATACCACTTCAGTTGTCAAAAGATTATTGACTTCTGGTTTCGTTGAATGCCTTTGTTTCTTCCCATCAGCCCTTCATTTGGAGAAGAAACAAAGATTGTATTAAGATTAAATAAATATTCATGGTAATTTACGCTTGCACTTTATTTGTTAGGTGAAAATGAGTTAGGCTCAAAATCTCAAAATCTCAAGGGTGGTAAGTGTTCGAATTCCTCTGTTCTAGCGAGAGTAGTACCTTCACAGTAGCTAATAACTACCGTAACCATAATCGGAACGAAACTCATAATCCTACTAAATTTTCACACATCAAATGTGAAAATTAGTAGGTATTTGAATTTATATTGTTTTTTCGAGAGTTCCTTATATAATAGCTATTGTTAGGATCAGATTCTTGCTTTTTTGAGTGTTCTCACCCAGTTCCTTCTCAAGAGGAAACATAGAACTTGGAGATACAAACTATTGTTTAACACTTTACGCTTACACGCCATTCGTTTTTGTATGTAGGAGAGAATGATCCACTTAAGATGCACAAAGTAGTCGCAAATGATGGGAAAACCGGAGATGATTTTGAATTAGCCTACACAGTCACCAAAGTCATCGGCAATGGATCCTTTGGTATAGTATTTCAGGCAAAATTAATTAACACGGGTGATGATGCGGCAATCAAGAAAGTGCTTCAAGATAAGCGCTTTAAGGTTGATATTTTCTATTTGTGGAAATCTATATTTCAATAATTATTGATCATTGAGGATAATCATCTTACAAAAAAATCATCTAACATTAGAACCGTGAACTTCAAATAATGAGATTAGTATCACACCCAAATATAGTGGAGTTAAAAGCATTTTTCTATTCCAACGGGGAAAAGGTATATCTGCAGTAATATATCCGTGATGTAAACAACATGCTCGCGTATACATATTAATCTGATTTTCCTGTGAATTTTACATAGAAAGAAGAAGTATACCTGAACCTTGTGCTCGAATACGTCCCCGAAACCGTTTATAGAGCCTCACGGGTTTACGCCAAAAGCAAACAAACAATGCCGATGCTTTATATAAAACTTTATATGTACCAACTTTTCAGGTCGCTTGCCTATATCCATTCTCTCGGAATCTGTCATCGTGATATTAAACCACAGAATTTGTTACTGAATCCGTCCACAGGAGTATTAAAATTGTGTGACTTCGGCAGTGCAAAAATTCTGGTGGAAGGGGAACCTAATGTTTCATACATCTGTTCGAGGTACTACAGGGCGCCGGAGTTGATCTTCGGCGCAATAAATTACACAACAAACATCGGTAAGAATTGTTTATTTATTCACCTATTTTTCCGATCGATTCTTACGAGAAATATCTTTCTTGGAACTTACCACTTCACATATACTATCTAGATGTATGGTCGACGGGTTGTGTTATGGCCGAGTTAATGCTTGGGCAACCCTTATTCCCTGGCGAGAGTGGCATTGACCAATTGGTAGAAATCATCAAGGTTCTGGGAACACCCACAAGAGAACAAATCAAGACCATGAACCCTAATTACATGGAACATAAATTTCCCCAAATCAAACCGCATCCATTTTTAAAAGTAATGATTCTTATGTTCATGATTAGACCTCTTATATCATTATCATATCATTATTGCACTTTTAATAACATATTTTCTTGTGGATTGTTTATGAACCTAGGTTTTTCGCGACAGAACACCGCCCGAGGCAATTGATCTTATAGAGCGTCTCTTGGAATATACCCCTTCCAACCGACTAACAGCCATTGAGGCTATGTGTCATCCGTTCTTTGATGAACTCCGTAATCCTGACACAAGGCTTCCTAATGGAAAAGATTTACCTAAACTTTTCGATTTCACCGACCGAGGTACAATTCTTTAATTACTTATTAACCTTTTACCTTGTGGCGTTGCGATTTTTTTATTGACTTTCAAAATTTTTTCAGAATTGTCTATTCGACATGAACTTATTCATAAACTTGTACCTCCACATGCCGAAGCCGAACTCCTTTCACGAGGAATTGATATCAATAATTTCAAACCATTGTCGAGAAGTCAAATGCGTGCAACTTTGGATTAAAAATGGATCCAGTTAGACTAAGGCAAGGAAATAACAAAAGGATACTATCCCCCTGGTTTTAATACACCCTTTAATTAGACTAGAATTTTTAATTGACTTTATTTTTTTTTCCTTGCATCCCTTCATTTCAATTTGTTTTTGATGAGTCGCTAATGGCAGATTTACGGGTACATTTAATCACAATCCATTGACAGAACTTTTACATTTCTGCTGATGTGCTATGTTTAAATTTTGTTTAATTTTTTTTTTTATATTTCTTTGCATGTTTATTCGTGATTAGCGTCCTATAAACAATTGTTTGCTTGTTTTAGAGGCGCAGACTGACATTCCGTGTATCTGATCTTGACTCGCATCGTTTTTAAAGTTGTGATTTGAACGAAACCTTTTCGGTTTGCTTGTGTGAGCAACGAAAAGCTGATACCAATTTAATGGTTTATTTTTCGCATATTTTTTTTTTAATTACCTCTCAGTGTTTCAGTTTATAGGTATTCATTTATTTTGTCTTGCATTGAACATTTTATACATTTTTTTTTCCCCTGTTATTAATATTTATATAGAATATCACGGAGACGAATTTTTTCCGTAGTTTTGTGTAAAATTGTTATTGTAGTTATTATTATGTTTAGGAAACGTTGATTAATTAATTCAATAAAACATAATTGTTTTGTATTTCATTGAATGCGAAGTCAAATCTTATAGATTGATTTAAAATTTCGCAATTAAAATATATATATATATCTAAAATCTAAATAAATCCTTTTGGTAGATCGTCAATTCTCTTTAATTTCTAGGTACAGTGTAAAACATCTATATAACATTAAGTTGACGGTAAGGTACGAATGAGAAGTTGGTTGAAAGTAATGAAAAAAAAATTGCTAACTCAAATCTGACTTGACCTTGAATTTGAATCTTATATTGAAATGAATATTATTATTATACTCGGATAATATATGCGTCAAGTTTCACTCGTCACTGATTCTTGAAGGATCCGCACGAGCGGAGTACTATCAACCATAGTGTAAATATTCCTTTAACTCTCTTCTGTAGTATTCTCAATAGTACTATCGTTAGGTGTATCTGAATTTAGCATGTGTTTCACGGTTGTCGGCGAATCAACTTTCTCTGGTGGTAATTCGGAACCATCAGCGATTCTCAGCAGTTGTCTCAACCCTTGATTCTCTATATACAAACTTTCTACCAGAATGTCTGTGTCAATATTGGTTTGTGCATCATACGCTTCTCTAACTATACTACCAACTTTGGAGATTTGTGAAAGTAGGGATGCATGTTCGACTAATACTTGGGATTTCGCTCGCTGCATTATTAAGCAAAGCATCATTAGAAGAATGTCGGAAAAAAATGATTTGCAAAGGAATCAACGAAACATACCCTTTCCTCTTCCAGGAGCGCCTCATAATCTCGTTGCATATCAAATTTACTTTGTTGTATTTCATACTTTATGGTCCTCAAAAAAACAAGTAAATATTCGAAATCTTGAAAGAAGAGAAAGTCAATGCATACAATGTCAAATCAACCTACGGCCTGAACCCTAAATTTATTCATCATCACTTGCAGCGTGGTTTCATATTCTTTGATAATTGCCAGCAATTCTGAATTTTCTTCGTTTAATTGTTGATTTTCGAAAATCAGTAGTGCATTTTGGCGTTCCAAATCAGTACCAGACTCAAAGGGTGGTGCTTGATTCACAAAGAAAAATCCGCAATAAATAATATGAAATTGGCGGTATTTTTGTCGAATAGGTTGTCGACCGAGAAAAAAAGTGAAGTGAAAAGTAATAATCACCACGAAAATTAGGACGATTCAATGATCCATCAGAACCTTCAGTTCGAGACTAGCACAAAGTTTTTTTTAAAAAAAAAACAAGCCATTTAACTGGCGATGTTAAGACTCTGGAGTAAATCGAAAGCATTCACAAAAGAATTCGACCTACTTTTATTTCATCAATCTGAAGTTGTAACTTCCTAACTTGTTCTCGATTTATAGCAAGCTGACTACAAAGTTCTTGTGCAAGTTTTCGAAGTCTGGGATCTTCCTCCGTCATATCAGCAGGGGTCATGGTATGAGAGGTGAAAAACTCGAAAGTTGATCATTATTCATATTTTAGGATGCACAAACTCATCTTTTATCAGCTAATAGAATTCTGTCCTCTGATCAATTCATTTTTGCCTAAAATTGCATTAATGATAAAAATGCATTATTCTACTTTTTAATTTTTAATTTTTTTTTTTTGGTTAATTAAATATTGGAATATTATGATTGATATACTGTAATTAACAATGTGAAAAAGATTTAATAAAAAATTTTATTACTGTATATGCTGGAAGTATAGATCAAGCATTTACAGTATATAATACAAGTATTTAGATGATAACCTATTTTAAATTGGAAAGAGGAATTTACAAGTCACTTGTGTAATTTTTTTAACCTATCCGAGGCGATATTCATCATATCCATTAAGCCCCTTCTTAGCTCATCTCGCTTATTACCATTTTCAATTTTTTCCTCTAGAATGGGTACGATCTCTCTCCTCGTCCTACCGTTGACGAAGATGACAAATTTGAATCCAAATTTTTCTTCGTACACCGCGTTTAACTCTTGTAATTTTTTATTTACATCCGCGTCACCGTTAGGCTTGATCGTCGATGAATCGGGTTCATCATTCTTGTCGACTCTGGTATATCCTTGTTCTTGTAAACTCATCGCCGACAAATTATTTTTATTTTCACCTAAACGTGGATGTGCATTGATAACTTCAAGCTTTTGCTGTTCTGTTAGAGGTCCATTTTCGTCAAGGAGGATTTTGGTAGCAGTTGAGATTAACGATTCATGCGAGTCGAAAGGGCGTAGAGAGTAAAGAATGTTTACGAGCGGAGGGGCAGGTTCAAACAAAACATTTATTGAAGATTTAAATGCGTCGTACTCTTGAGAATTTAATTCAGATATCACTGGTAAGGATGGCAACTCTGACATTCTAAAGTGTAAGTTCCCAGTGTAACAGTCTACGACGTACGACATTACACACTGATCTGGATCTGCATGGTTACACCGATCGAAGGTATAAAAATTATCGTACGTATTCGATTTTCCATTGTCGCGCATCTTTTCCGTGATGGATGACGATAAATTAATTTTAAATCTCGTGTTCCAAGATTCCCCTTCAGAAAGAACGAGCATTCGATCGAAAATAAAAGAAGTACGCGGAGGTTGGAAAGAAAAAAATAGAATCCGCAGGTCTTTGAAAAAGAATGCGGCGAATTCTCATAAAGCTGACGTCGTGAAAGCGGAGAACAAAGAATTAGAAAAGTTTAATGAAAAATCAAAATTTAACAAAAAGATCCTTCCCGATAATAAACAGCGACAAAATGAAGCAAATTTACGTCCTTCGAAGGAAGAATCAGGAACACTCGTCAAGAAACATGTCATATCCTCAATATTCACATATAACCCAGAGATTATAGATGTTAACGGGGATGCCAACGCATTACAACAAACTCACGATCAGCCTAGCAATGCGCCTGTGAAAGGTGCGTCAACCTTCGTTGGCATGGGGTTGGATCACGATCTTGTTTCTAATATGGAAGAAAAGCTTGGTGTCGTGAATCCAACCAACATACAACGAAGAGCGATTCCCATCATTAACAACGATGATGCCGATGTAGTAGTGCAAGCAGAAACCGGATCTGGAAAAACTTTAACATATTTACTTCCAGTTGTTCATCGTTTAATGCGTGCTACAGCAGATGTTCAAGACACATCCTCAATTTCCCGATCTGTCGGAACTCTTGCCATCATTTTGGCGCCAACACGAGAACTGACGAGGCAAATTCTTTCAGTAATAAATTCATTAATCGACATACCGCCATCAAAACTTGGCAAACGTCACCTGAAACATTGGATGGTTTCCGGATTGGTGGTGGGAGGCGAAAAGAGACAGTCCGAAAAGGCAAGACTTCGCAAAGGCGTGAACATTTTGGTCAGCACTCCTGGTAGATTGCTGGATCATCTTCAAAATACGAAATCATTCAAAGTAAAGAGTTTACGTTGGTTGGTGCTCGATGAGGCGGACCGTCTCCTGGAAATGGGATTCGAGGAAACTCTCAAGTCGATATTGAAAGTGCTCGATGAAAAAACCAAGGGCGATGATGTTCATAAAGATCCCAAAAATCAGCTTTTCACCTCGCCCACGTGGCCAAAAAGGAGACAAACCATTCTCTGTTCAGCTACACTAAGAGATGATGTACAGCGTTTAGCAGGATACAGTTTGGTCAATCCAACTTTCGTAAGAGGAAATAATGAACATTACGGGAGTATTGATCCCAGGACTTTCAATTACACAACCCCTAATCAATTGAAACAAAACTACGTGATAACACCGGCAAAGCTACGCTTGGTGACTCTGACGGCAATATTGAAATCAATTTTCAGTCCAGAAAGTTCCGAAACTTTAAAAAGTCGCAAGATCATCGTATTCTTATCATGTCGCGACTCTGTTGATTTCCATTTCGATCTGTTTGTTCATTCCGAAAAAATTGGAGAAGAAAAGGACGAGGAATTAACTCCCGATGATGAAGAACATTACGAATTTTCCGAAGGTTCATGCGAAATGAGTAAGATCATCCCTGGGGCACCGATCTACAGATTACACGGAGAACTGTTACAAAATGTTCGCACGAAAATATTCAATAATTTTAGCGAAGCGGAATCCGGTATATTATTTTGCACGGACGTTGCAGCTAGAGGTCTTGACCTCCCAGATGTCTCAAAGATTATTCAATATGATCCTCCGACCGACCTAAAGGATTATGTTCATCGCGTGGGAAGAACAGCGAGGTTAGGTAAGAAAGGTGAAGCCATAATATTTTTGTTGCCAAGTGAGATCGAATATATTCATGCTCTAAAGTCACATGAGATCCATGCTGAACCCGTTCAGGTAGAAGCATTGTTAGAAGGCTTAAGTCCAAAGGGTAAAAGCGAGAGTTATGAACTTGAAGCAACAAAGATTCAATTGAACTTTGAAGGATATGTTCTTTCGAATTCGGAGGTAAAAAAACAGCAACATGTTATCATCATCACATAAACAAACATTTTCACTAAAATCGTGTCGCATCGTTTTACTTGTATTATTTTAAGCGCACAAAAACAGCTCGAAAGGCTTTTCTATCATACATTCGAGCATATGCTACACATTCGTCTTCCGAAAAACACATCTTTCATATCAAGAAATTACATCTCGGCCATGTAGCTAAAAGCTTTGGACTTCGAGAGGCCCCATCAGATATAAATTATAATCCTAATAATCCTAATGAAAATAACAAAAATAAGAAGATGACGACTAAAAAGATCAAGGTCTCCTCGAGAAGTTCAACGAACAAAAGAAAGTTTGATTCCCTAATTAGCGAATTCTCTGCCGGAGATTATTCTTCGATGGTGGGACCAATTGTAAAAAAGAAGAGAGAAAAAAGAAAGTAAGCTTGTATCTGTTGTGATCGTACAGCAGACATTTTCCTCGTGGTAAAAGGCTAAAATGATCAAATTCCAAAAATGGTTGCAATAAGTATGCCTGATTATATCATCCACAAGTTAAAGACAGGATAAATCTGGTTTTTTTTTAAAAAAAAAAAAAATAAAATAAATAAGAAAATAAATAAATTGTCAAGTCCTGTTTGACACTTATCTGCCTCCCTTGCGACAGGGTAGTAGACTTTATTCAACTTTGCAGCAGTAGAATCGTGCGCTTCGGATTATTAATTTCAAAATCATCCCGGCATTCGATTTTCATGCCGAGGCGCGGCGGATGGCATAGATGACATGATTATATAATATGCACGTTGTGTCGACATCTATATATACCATAATTTCGGTAGTCAAAAAAGTAAACTCGGATTAACTTTCAACTATAAATTTGGAAGGTCATTTGACTGGTAGAGTTGGGGTGGCATTCAGTGCCAGAGTAGTAATACACGAAAATGCGGGCTTATAAGTTCTCCAAATTCGCATGTTGTTCGCGTTGGAATCATAAATGTCTCGTTTTTTATATAAGCCATGGATAAAAAATAATGTATTAGATAGCCTGTACATGGTCGGTGAGTGCAATAAGAAACCTGTCCGAGCTCAAATACTCCGGGTATGTTGGAAAAGAGGGAATTTACCGAAAGACGACGCGTATAATGATAGGAAAGTGCTAATTCGAAAAGAGTTTAGTTTGATCGTTATTGGATTTTAGTTTTTGACATCTCATAGTGCTCAGAATTCCACCCGGATAATTCGCGCCGAAATTCATGACGCACAATATTACGTTCAATGCACCTTTAGCGAAGCTTGTGTCAAAGATTTCGAGAGGTTGGTGTATCCTATTCTACCCATCCAACACGTACATCATTACTTTTTAAGAATCTCAAAAACGTGACTCCATTAGGTCTCTTAATCTGTTACTACGCCAGCTTGGACAGAGGATAGAATGGGTAAAATCGAGTTATGGGGCATGATTTACTATGTCCCATAACCCCCGATTTTACTTTGAAAACTGTCCACCTGTCGGTTGACTCTTTGTAGAAATCAAACTGCGGATTCTCTTTATTTTAACTAATCCTGAAAACTGCGTCTTTTCTTTTTTTCACGCTTCATTCAGCCAAAATCAAATCACCCTGACATCTATAAAAGGCGCAAACATCATCATTCGCGAGTTCACCATAATTCACCACAACGACACGACATCGAACATAATCCTCAACATCACTTTAGAGATCAAGAATTTTGTTTATTCCACAAACATAGTTCCGGAATCCGAATACTCCTTAAGGTATATTTGTGACGATACAGATTGTCGGATAGGAATGAAGTACATTTCGATCCAAAAAGGAAATCCGTTTGAAAATCCCGGTTGGAAGGTAACCATGAAATCTTTTCCGACAACGTAACAGAATAGTTAGTAATCAAATACCAATCAATTGTTCGAACAACATCCACTCCATTTTCCGCCGACGTCACAGGAATTGGAAGAAAGAATAAATTCCATGTCATGTAGGATCGTCCCACCGGATCAACGAAAAATACTTGATGCCATTCCAGGTCTGATTTTTCGATTTCGTTCTCGCTGCTCTCGGCCATTAATCGCTTGAATGCACATTAATTCTAGGATGGGAAATCACGGAGCCCGAGTATGATATTGAAGACGACGAGGATGATGAGGATGATGTTCAGAAGCCCGGACACAATGGTAGAGAGACCCGAACTATTATAATTTATTCTAAATATCTGAATATCACGTTTTTTTGTTTTTTTTTCATCTTAAGAGTGGACGGACAACGAATCCAGCGTGACGATATCATCTCCAGACTCCATAGAGTGTGCGCTGGAGTCACCCGGCGGTAACCAACCGCTTATGTTTCATGTTAATCATGCTTTCAAGTATAAAATCACGTGATCATATTGTCGAAATTAATTTTAGAGCGGGTCGTGGAATCGGACGAAGAATTATCAGCAAATATCTCCGACGAGCAAATAAAGTTTATCCGGAAAGGTGCATTGAAACGAAGAAATGAAGAGAAAAATGAATATTGTAAAAGGACAAAATTTTCAGATGAAGACTAAATTGGTAGCAATAATTTGCATTCACAGAGCAATAAGCATAACAATGATGGATGTTAAGCCGCATCCAACTTTACTGTATACACCGTGTATATTTAAATTTTTTTTATTTTTGAATTTTTATGATCGTTTCTTATTTCGTTTGAATATGCCATTCAAGTAATTATATATTTTTTTGTTGCAATATGACTCGCTCACGTGGAGTATTATCAACCACAATATGATTACCAGGGAGGAGAAATAAATCAAGTACGTGTACCGCACTCCGTACAGCAACGTATAAATGGATATTACAAGTATCAGATTATTGGTTATAATTTCAAATTTTCTGATAATGAAAATAGAAAGTGTAGAAAGAAGAGTGAATGAATATAGATAGACTGAAGGAACTTTTTTTTAAAACACAAATTACACGCATTTTTTCTCACCTTCCCATTACTTTGGGCAACATTCTGCCATTACTCACGATCTCAACGTAAAATATAACAGGTGCAATTGCCGCTATACTGTGATCCCATGAAAATGGTGCAAACCAATGAACTGACATATTCCGTATCCAAACCATCAGAACGGGTAAATTAAAAGGTAAAAGAATAAATAACAGTAAAAGTATAGATTGTAAATAATGGTAGCGATCCCATGTTTCTTGCACGCACGGTGATTTATGCTGTTGGTAAATAGAAAGACGCACAACGTCAGAAACTAAACAAATCCAAATCCAAAGAAACATGTATCTCAAATACCCCTTTCCGAGCAACGATTAATGATCGGACGCACGAAACGACGTGGACCAAAAATGCGACGACGAACGCGAATTGATAAGGGACGAACGAGGACACTAAAATAAAAAGAATAGCCGTCGTAACACTGCGACGCCGCAGTTTTGATTTTTTTGACTCAGGAGTTCTAAATATTATACACGTAAAAGGATGTTTGAAAAGATTTCACAAAATTGTGAATGCATGCACAATAAGTTGGCTTACCCTTTCGCTGGTTTTGTCGTAAATTGATCTCGACCCGTGTACGCTGCGGCAACAACCAACATTCTGATAATTCCTTCCAAAAGAAGCCAAAAAATGGTAGTTACACCAATACTAACGAAAATAAAAATGAGAGGCAAGAACCAGAAAAATGGATCTTGGTTTCCCAACAAAGTATCATTCAAGTCAAACGAAACTTTATCTACAATAGCTTTCTGTAAACCCTCAGGTGCATATCCCATGATAAAATGCTCCACCAACGTGTGTGTCTTTGAGGATATAATGATTGACTGATAAACTGACAGAATGGATACAGCAATAAGGAATTTTGGCAATGTCTGACGTATGAAAAGTGCCAATCCGTGAACAAAACTCGGAAATGGTTCTAAAACAAAAGTTATACATAAGCGTTACAAGATGAATTACGCGAAAGCAGCATCCGAATTTCGAAAATTTTTCCTACCACCACGGTTGTATTCTCTTAGTTGTGCCCTTAGGGTCATCACGATTGTGATGAAAGGAAACACAACCAGAATAGTTTGGAAACGCATGACCATTTTTCCAAAACTTCCATATAAATCCAATTCAATATCAACTGACATTGGTGCAGAACACGTGGGATCCATCCAGAATTGTAATTCAATTCCCTTTTTAAAATGCGGAGAAGTGACGGGCGTGATAAAAGGTGCTTGTCCATGAGTATTTAGATCTGCATTTACAAAGTTAACCAGAAATTTCGACTCGTACATCGAAGAAATTGATTGCCTTAGGAATGGTGCGAAGAGTTGCTTGCCTATCAAAGTTTGGAAAATCAAAATATAAAGAAAAATTCTTAGACTCTGAAAAAATAATTGATTCCGTGGGCGTAAAAATGATATTTACCAGCGCATTCATTACGACGAACCGATATCTTGTAAGTTAACAGACTACTTTCAATTACAGGAATTCGAAGCGTGGATACTAAAGTATTGTGCTCGGGAAATATGTCGATGTGAATTCCGTCCCACAAAAGATCTAACAACGTAAAAAAAAATTTGTTCCAAATTACACCTAAAAAACATTGCATCGATAATAAAATGACGATTGCTTATTAACCTTTAATCGTTGTATTAACTTCCATCATCGACGTTCTTTCATCATAGAATTCTCCAATCAAGAAACCCTTCATGGCAAAATCTTTGCGAAACATGACGACTATATACTGATAATCACCCAATTTCTCGACCTTTAACTTCAGAAAGTTAAAAGTTTGCCCTGAAAAAGGTTGATCCACCTCAAATGTCGAAGCTGGCACCAATAAAACATCATCATGTACCACCTGACACGAAAGTCTAGGCGCAGTAGGCAATGATAAATCATTTAGGGAAAAGTCTTTTTTGCCATGAGGCTCAGGTACTTCCGTCGGCATAACATGACACAAAAGTACACTAAGTCCAGAATCTTCGAAAAGTGATTGACCGGTTAAAAAAGAAAATGCATTTAAGGCAGAGTGAGGCGCGGATGGTGGTATGGGCATTAGATATACTTGTGGTGTTGACTCCGCATCGCTCAATACAAGTCTCTGTCCCATGTCCAAAAACCGATGAGACAACTTTTCCAAATTTATGATCCCAAAAGGTTCTGTATACATCAAAAAGAAATATATATATATTTGAAATCAATTAAAAGACGAGATATATGCCAGTATTAATATACACGTGGACATTGGATTACCTCTTTTGATTTCATTGAGCTCTTGTTCAGCATGTTCTTCGAGTCCGGTCAAGAGGACCTTGCGAAACGCCGACATTCTTTCTGACCTCAGCTTCGTCTGAACCGCTCGTCTGACATCGACGACACTTAATAATGAATTCGCTACAACTCCTACCAATTGGTTGCACCATAGAATACATTGATGATCCATTGCCGTCCACACATTAGGGATGGATGTCGTAAATACCGTAAAGCCGTTTGATGCTGGAACGAGAGGGCTTATATTTGCTGAATCGGAACAAACCACCGTGTCCAAATTTCCACCGACGATTGAAATTAAAGTTACATCGTCTAACGAATTTTCGGTTGAATTCTGAGAATATCCATTTTTCCAAAATTCATTAATGTCCTTATATATTTTGCTTATTTGCCAATCGAATGGTGCGGGTGGTAAAAGATGAGGTGATGCCATCGTCAAAATCGTATTAATAGATCCAGGCTGATAATTTGGCATTGTGAACAAAGTTCTTGCAACCACTCCTCCCATCGAATGACCAATTATAATTACAGCGGTAGGATCAGGATAAACCTGTGACGATGGATCAGTCTGTAGATTCTTTCTAGCCAATGGGTACAACGATAAAATGTACCTGATTGCATCATTGAGATACTCTGCCTGTTCAAGCAGGGAATGTCCGTGAAATGCGGATAATTCTTCATTAAAATCGACTTTTTGTTTAAATATATTCAATGATACTATTATTACGTTGCGTCTGATTGACCAAAGCGAAAGGTGACTAAAAAAAATACCTGTGAAAAAATCGATTGGTCTCAAACCATCGTTCCATAATTCCGATCTATTCTCGTAATATATTTTTGATGTCTCCGAAGCTATGGCTCTAACCTGCCTATAACTACCGGCATTGCCTGGAATGAAGAGGGCCGGAATTCCTATAGGCTAAGTAATCGTCATAAAATCTTTGGTTATTCGTAATATGATTAAATTCCCTTTTCCAGAGAAACTTCTATCAACGTTGACGCATCAATTCAATTTAGCTTGCTTACTTGATCGTTGCGATCATATGACGAATCCCTATACAAATAGAGTCCATATTTTCCCGCGAATCGTGTTTGCTCGCTGTCAAAACCATCTTGTCTTAGGTACGTTGGATACATGTACGAAACCTCGCACCCGATCGGGTCTTTCTGATAGTAAAGAAATGAATCGAATGTCACACCCAATAAAATAACGGTTATAAATAATATTATCATTATGGGATATGAACATGAGGATAGGGCTGAAGGACTTTGCATTGAGGTCGTTGCAGAAGGTTTTTGCAACTTTTTAGAGGGAGAAACAACCGAAGCCGATGCAGTTGTGTGATTTTTACCCTGAAGTGACAATTTCTCGGGGGAAGTCGGGGAAGGTGTTCTCCCTTTAAGTTTTTTACCACCCGAACAATCAACACTGGGAACAGGATCTATCAGCCGTGTTGTGTCGACTTCATAGCGTGACTTGATTTCGAGTGTTTCACGCCCTTCTGCTTCACGGACACCCATTGATATAATAATGTAGAATTTACGCTCTTTGCCTAACTAACTTTAACTGTTCGCTTCAATCGAAACATGAGAAAATGTCCTTCCTGATCAAAGTAAATAGGGTTTTCGGGCGTAAGTTGAGATCTTAAACAGGTACTTTGTGGCCACAGATCCAAATCGACACAAGTTAGGCAAACCGACAGGGCGATTCTAATTTTTGAGTTACGTAAAAACAAATATATTATACAATGTATACACTTGGATTCCTTAACCAGAGAAACCGGAAGGAGTAAGGCCGCAATAATTATCTCGTTCGTGCTAACCTTAAAGTTTCACGGTGCAACATATGTTGTAAGTAGGAAGTACTTCCTTACTAAGTATGTAAAAAAATTTTTTTTTTTAGGCTTGGTTGTCAGCTGATATGGCATAATCTACATGATCGTATTGATATAGCAATGGATTTCTTTTTTTTTTTTTCAGATTCTAAGCCCAAAGCTAAATAAAGTTTCTCTTTAATATACTCCCGTGTAACCAGTTCTTTACGAGATTTATGAAACGAGATTCGAATAAAGATAGCAAGACAAAGGGTCACAACCACATGAATTAATTTAATCATTCTTATTTTCTTAGACTTTTTATGTCATTATTATATATTTCCAATTATTGAATAAAATGACCTATTTGGTATAGCCTCTTTGCCTATTGCATCTATATTATATACTGTATATACTGTATATTGCATTTGAAAAAAATTTTTTAAATTATCAAATCTAAAAAAAAAATCATATTAATTATAATTAATTTGATATTATATGTTTAATACAAGACCTTTATATTTTATTTTTTTTAACTAGTGAGACCTTACTTAATATACTTTATTTAGTTTACATTTGTATTTTTTTTACAAGAACTATTTTTTTTTAAAAAAAAAATAGATAAACATTATTTCTTTATTATTGTAAAAATTTTAAATTATTTTATATACAGAAAGTGACATCTCTTATATAACCAATTGATCAGTAAGTCTAATGTTAGCTTGCCTACAAAAACTATTTAAGCAACATGGAAAATAAATATTAAAATCAATATATATTTTAAATAGTATCAAGTAGCTATAAATATTAATTTAGGTTTATATGTAAGACTATAAGAAATAGAAAATTAACCAAAAAAAAAATACTAAACAAAAAAAAAAATATAGCAAAACTAATTGTAAAACCATAGATGCTTTAAATAAAATTACTAGACATATTATGCTGGTAATTTTATTTAATTGAAATATAATAATTGTACTTTCAGAAATAGTCAGGTTATTGTTCAAAGTGTACAATAGTATTGGTAATATATTTTTTTGATAGGTAATTAATTATAGTAGTATTATTATTGTTATAGTAATATTATTTGTAATTGGTTTTTTTGTTGATAATATAATTTTGTTTTAATTGTTATTACTATAAAAGGTTTTGTTTATATTAATTAAAATATAGTATTTTGATATTAAAAAATTTTTTGAACAAAGATTTTTAATAATCTTTGGATATAAATCTTTGGAGGACCTCTATCATTATTAAAAATTCTGAAACAAAAATTTATATATTAATTTTTGAAGATCTTTGATATATTTTAATACTATAATAATAAACTATATTTAAATGTTTGATAAAGTTGATAAATGATTGTTAAAAGGGTGTCATTGTCAATTAAAAAAAACTTGAGAGTTATTAGACTATTGTTTGATAAAAATTTATTGATTTTATTGAAGTCTTTTGACAATAGAACTTATGAATTGGTGAATCACTCTTTGAAAATTCTTAAGAATTCATAGTGGTTGTAAAGAATTTTAATTTTTTCCTTCAATTGTTTATCCTTACAAGATAGTTATCCAATGTTAAGATATTGTTACTAAAATTTTCAAAATTTTTATTAACTTTGAATAGATATAACCATATATTATAACCATATATTAATATTTATTAGTTTTAGTTATATTTTCTATAGAATATTTTCTTCTTTTCTTCAAGAATTCTCAAAATACCTATATAGTTTTAAATGGCACAATAAATTCGGAGCGCCATAGCTCAAAAATCAAGTTGTGAAGCTTCTTGGAAGTTCTAAGTAACTATTTGCAAAAAGACTAGAAAAATAACTTTTGTTAAGACCTCAAAAACAATTGTCTTACTGATATTTTGAGTAATTTTACTTTTCTCTTATGGATAAGAATTTTCTTTAATAATCATCCTAAGTATAACAAATAATTCTCTAACCAAATCTTTTGTGTAAATAGATGAACCACACATAAATAATTAGATTAAAGGCAACCTACAATTGACCAAAACATTATAAAAAGGATGCAATTTTTCCTAGCTGTGAAAAAAAAAACCAACTATCATAATTATAAAATTCTGAATTTTTATATTTTCTTTAACTTTCTTTTAATAAAATCATATTTATTTCATATTTTTTTTTTTTAATTGCAAATGAGCATAATATGCATGATTTTTATTAAACTTGTGTTTATAATCAGTACATAAACAATCTTTATATTGAGTAAGTTAATTATAGCCTATTGTAACTATTTAGTAGAACCAATTTACATTATGTAAGTGAATTAGACACTACTAATGCTAAATGGCTTGTGCTCATTCAGAACAATGATGTTGGAGTAGAGGAGAATATAAGTTTGTTAGTATTTAAATGATTAGCTTCTAATATGTTAATAATAGTTGGGAATACACTATTGATATTTTTTACCTAAAGTTGAGTGTTCATTGTTTTTATTTTCTTCCAAGCTATTCCAGCAAAGGATAAGGTAATTGTAGTTTCAGATTTTGTTTCCATATCTTGTAGAGAATTTTTAGTGATTTATTTGAAATATAATCTTTGTTTTTGGTAACGGTTTCAAAAAGAGGTTGGTAAATACCAAGGGCTATTTGAAATATATACTGGCCAGTAATGGCTATAGTATTAATTGATTGAGTGTGGAGATTAGCTCTTGAGGTGTAATCTTGTTGAATTTGTTGAATTAGGTCGATGAGCTTGAACCATTTTTTGACAATATACCTATTGCTATGTAAATAGCACAAGAAGTGACTGAGAGTTTCTTCTTCAATATTGCACCTTGGACATATGTTGTTAAGATAAAGTAAAGGGTATCTCTTGTGGAGTTTGGATCTTGTGAGAAGTTGATCTGTTAGAAGTTTGATTCGAAAGGTAAAGAGAGATCTATATTTAAGTAAGTCACTTTTCTTGAGCTTTTTGTTAGCATTGATAATATTCTCAAACTGGTCAAATGAGGTGGACTTGTATATTACTAATTGACTAAGGGTGAAGTTATAAAGATTTGAGTAGAGATTCACAAATTCGATCCAGTGGGTTATACTTGTTGTATTGACATTGTTAATAAGAGGTGATGATGAAAAAAATATTGGTGGCATAATTGGTGAAGTTAGAAAAGGAGTTGCTTGAGATATTAGTTTGGTGATGAGTTTGAGCTTATACCATATAATGGTTAAACTTTTGAGAATAGTTTCTCTATTAATTCTGCTAATAAGTCTGGAGAATAAGACTTTGACTTGTCTGTTAATGTAGTCTGAAATATAAAGGTCAGGTTTGGATGGAACTTTGCAGACTATGTGGACATTGGATCTGGAGTTGATTACCATTTAAAAAAGGATTAGCTAGAAAGTTGCTTAGATATTGGAGTTATTGGAATAGAAGAGCAGGAGGGTGCTGGTTTAAATATCAATAACATTAGAGTATACGATAATAATAGAATAGATTATTGGCTAATTATTAGTTGGAGATGGTTGTATTATTAGCTGGAAAGTGTGCATGAGTACAGAGGTGAGAATTGAAATCAGTTCATCAACATTGTTGAGGAGTTCATGGTAGCCATTATATTTTATGGTCCAGGTTGATTTGAGTTCGCTAAAGTACTTGCTCTTAAGGCAAGGTTATGTTAGGCAAGAGCAAGTAGCAATGTGTTTGTTGCCTAAAGCAAGAACGTGATGTATCCCAGTAAGTGAGGGTCAAATTATGGCATTGTGTCTCACTTTGATGAAGCTTAAGTAATTATTTTCCAGGAAGCTTCAAAATCTAGGACTTGGATTTGGTAGGGGTGGAGTGTCACCAACGAGTGGTAGTGATATGTTTGTTAGACTAGTAAACCAATGAGGTATGGGGCCTTTGGTAATAAAGCCCTTATGAGTGTAGAGTTCTTGCCAAGTGAGTTTAGAGGGCTTATTAAAAACAAGTATGTTGGAAAGGATTTTGATATTAGAAAAGAAAAGGGACAGAGCTGTTTTTTACTGATTTTTGTGAACTGACCAATTGAGACTTCATGATTGGGCATGTTGAATGAGCATGGGTTTGGGCAGGCATTGATATAGTATTTGATGACAATTTTAGCTACTTGTATTAGCCATGAGTTTTTGAATAACTATGGGAAACAAATGGGGCATTACCAGATAGCGTGTGCAGCTTGTATTGATATAATTTTATATTTGGTAGACTGGAAAGTTACTGGATTGGCAAGCCTTGTGACCAAGAGTTTGGTTACTGTAATGTCTTTTCTATTCTACAAGTTGACTAAGTCTAAGCCTGCTTTGAAATAAGTAATCTTGTTAGAAATTGTTTGCTCAATGTCAAGCTTTGATTTTGTTGCTTTATTGAGTTTGGCTTAAAGAAAGTTTATTTCATTGTTTGTTGCAAAGGAGATATGCGTGGCATACTCCAGTTGTGCACACTAGTCGAAATGGATTTATTCAGCATAATGCCACTTGTCAATCATTCATCAAAAAAGTATATAATTCAGCTAATCAAAATTATATAACTTTTATCTTTGGCTATAAAGTGGCGTATAATTTATTTGGCACATAAATGGTATACTTTTTTTAAACCTCATTTTGAAGAAGTTAATATTTTAACAGTAAAATGGATAATTTATTTTTTGCGCCAAATATACATACTGTATATATTTTGACTTTTCCGAATTATATTACT